GCAGTCATATGTCACTTAAGGAGGGGGATGTGTTCTGAGAAATGCATCATTAGGGGATATCATCATTGTGTGAACATGATAGAGTGTACTTACACAAACTTAGATGCTATAGCCTACTATACACGGAGGCTATATGCTACTAATCTTATGGGGCCACTGTTGTATAAGCAGTCAGTCACTGACTGCAACTTTATTATGTGGCTCGACTATATAATAGAAATAAGTATAAGTAGGAAAAAGATATAAGTAGGCATTTTGCACAAAGGACACATGCATGGCTAAAACCAGTCAAGAAAAATGCATAACCTCACTATTAATCAAGGAAATTGTATGATAACAGCAATTAAATCTAGTGAGTAAATAGTAGTTGTGGGAGATGTGAAACAATAGGAAATCCATAAAATTGCTAGCAGCTGTTTAAGATAGAATGACCACTTTAAACAGCAATTTAGTAATATCTGAACGAAGAAATTTCTCTCCTGAGCATATCACCTCGGGTCAAATAGTTCCACTCCTGGGTATATACCTTATAGAATATCTTGCATATGTGTATTAGAAGATAACGAGCAATAATTTTCAGTGCAGAGTTTTTTTGTAGTAGCAAAAACATTAGAAACAATTGAAATGTCCAACAAATGCAGAATGAACAAGTGCATTATGGAATACTTATTGAAATGAAGTGAATAAAATAGTCTAAGCACACAAGCATGGATTATCTCAAAAAAACATACAGTTGAACGAAAGAACTGTTGCACATGGATACTACACTATGGCCATTTTGTTTATATTTTCCTATATGCAGAATGGAATTTTATGTCTTAAAATCAAATTCAGGAATAAAACTTCTTTTGGGAAAGCAGGGAAGTGGTGCTTTGGGCAAGAGCACACAGTTAACTTCAATTTATTTATAATGTTTAATTGCTTAAGACGGTGATAGGTGCATGAGTGTTACTTATATTATTCCCTCTGCATTTTTGCATAGATAATAACTTTGATAAAAATATACTCAGAAAGAAGGATGTGTAGGAGTTTAAAGATCCTGTTAAGAATATGTAAATGGACACTATCAAGTTTTTTGCCATATTGGCTTAGGTTTCTCTTGAGAATCTAACTATCCAGTGATTCACAGTAGCATCTACATGTGCATGATTATTGTTGTAACTAAAATGTGAGCCTATAATTTGTGTGGAAAATTGAAAAGCTGTACAGTTTGACAATTCTCTGACATTACGGTAGACCCTCAGATACTCTCTCCAAGCCCACCATGAATCTCTGTATACAGGCACTTGAAAAGTGTAACTATATCAAAATGTCTCATCTTTCCTGTTTTTATTTTATAAAAATAAGTTATTCTATGGGCACTGGTGAAAAGTAATGGTTCAATGAGTAAATATTGACTTAAGGCACACAGCAGAGCAATTCTCTAACTCTCTAACATATGTGTGACAAGATGGAGAACCATCTGTTTTCTGAAGATAGGAACTTAAGCCAATATATCCATTTTGAAATATTGCTATATATACACACCCAAATTACTGCATAGGTATATATGAGTTTTAAGAAAAAAAGCTCAATTTATGAATGCTTTCATCCTAGCATATAAGCCCTATGCACAACTCATCACAGGTTTCCAGGAGTAATGCTTCACTTAAGAGTAACTTAATGTGGAGATCTTAAGCTTCATTTCATATAAACAATCACGAACTCTTTTTCTCACCACAAGTTTAAAAGACAGGATAAACATCTTTCTCTCACCAAGCTCATGTTGCAAAATTGGAAAGAGAATGACGCTAATGATGGTAAACCAGTTTTATTTTTAATTTAGTTGTTTAAGAACTGTGATTTCCAACAGTTAAATCATTGTCTACTTAAGAAGAATGTGAACTTGGACTAATGGAGACTGAACAAATCCTTAGAGAATCTCATCATATGTAATGACACATGAGTCAAATGTGAGGGAAATAGGAAAGTTTAGAATTTCCATAAAATTTACAGAAAAAAATCTGATGCCTATATGTCAAGAATAATAAATTTGTACTCAAGTGACAGTGGTTGACACTACATTAAGTTAATGAGACAAACATTGGGAAAGATGAGTTTGAGTTAAAAAGAAATTTAAGTTTAAGCTATTGGAAAATTGCACATAAATATAAAAAAAATGGGTTCAAAAAAGATGCAAAATATATTAAAGATTTGAGTTAATTTTCAAAAAGTGGCTAAAAGAGGAGAATATCTGCTGGAGAAATTTTCTCAAGAATCAAATAATTACCTCAAATGAGCCAAAAGCTGTATTTTAAAATGGGGAGAGATATAATAGATTAGAGACTAGACCGGCAGAGGAAACTTAATCTATTTGGTCAGTAAAGATATTAAAGACAGTTAAGATCTTTGTTAAGCAAGGATGTATAGATTGGGAGAGTTATTTAGTTTTATTTTAGCTATGAGTTCTCGGATGCAAAGATATTCATTAATGATTACAGGTAATTTGAAATTCTGTCCTCTCTGTTTCAGTACATTGTCTTAGTTGAATTAGGTTATTTGTATTATAAGAACAAGAGTAAAATGTATTAGTATAAGAAATGTGAATGTTTAAAAAGTATGTTAATACTTTTATGAAAGTAAATTAATTCAAACAATATTATGGCAAATGAAGCAATAGGATAAAGTTTAGTTGCAGAGCTGTGATGGTGGAAACTACAAATAAAAAACGTCAGCTTAACCAAGTGGTAGCTAAATATTTTACGATTCTTAAGATAAAAATAATAAGTTCTAACTTTCTCTATTTCTGTGTAGATGGACACTATATTGCACCTATTATATCTGACACCATTAAATATTTTACAAATATTGAATCTGATTATGTAAATAGAAATAATGTAACATGTTTAGGAGTTTAGAAGACTAAAAAGAAAGATGCTAAGCTGCATGTAGTTAATTTTATAATACTTAACCTCTGGGGTGTTTGATTAATGTTTTTTGCTGCTGCTTGTGACTCTGAAGAGGAAAGTGATAGATGCTAAAAGAAGATTTCTGAAGGGAATTCATGATGATGGAATATGTAGGAATGGAAAGGGTTTCTATACTAGAGAAGGGAAATAAAACTGAGTAAGAGTCGCTGTGAGACTGTCTTTGCAATATTCTACAAGCTTTTTGTACAATATTATTCTATAAAGGAAATCTGTCTAAAATTATTAACGGTAAGAAATTTAGCTGGGGTAGTCTTCTAGATTGTGTGTGACAACCATATTGTGGTAGACTGATGAATTATGCCATAAAAAGCAGAGATCTTCAGGAAACTGACATGGTTTGAGGTTTTATTAAAAAGGCAATCTAGCCATGTCTTCTCTTTTTTCTAACTCCCTTCCTCCACCCCATAAAGACATGTAAGGCCATAAACCTTTCCAATTACTGCAGTTGAAAGTATTTCGTGGAAATGATCTTGCAAACTAGAAAGTATAAGCCTATTTCCAGGTTTCTAGGATTGTATAGTGTGTATATTAGTAATTAAAATGAGAAAGTTGCCGGGGCTAGGAATACAACTTGGGAAGTCTTAATAGAAAAAATCCAGCAGAGATTCCTTCCTCTTTAAATATGATTTGGACTGGATATATACAAATGCAGGATATAAATCAGGACCAGATATTCAGCCAGAATCCAGAATATATCAACGTCTGAAACTAGAGTATGGTCAGAATTGCACCAGAACCACACAGCTCTCACGCTAGCAAATTGTACGCGGGCTCTGTGTTTACACACGTATACACAAACTCATGTTAATTTATATACTGTAGTTAAGATAATTCTATATTATGCCCAAATATGTGAGTTCACTTCTTCTCTACTGATGCTTTTATTGTAATTACATTATACTGAGTTTGAGCAAAGCCACAGAGATGATGCTAAATCAGTAAATATTGCATATATGAGAGAAACAGCATTTAAAAATAATAGTGCCTGAATAAAGTTTCTTCCTGTTGAGATAGATCCTCCATATACACACACATGCGCACCCACAACATCTACATACACCTCCACATAATATTTTGCATATTGGATTATATTTCCTTAGAAAATTTGATATCAAGTCATTCTGAAATATATAAAATGAGCATAATTCTCTACTTAATAAAGCTTTTGGAAGCTAATAAATTTTTAAGTATTTCATATCCTATATTAGCTAAAATCAGCTTTGAAAGTTAATGCAAATTATACTTGCTAAATTTAGGAATGGAGTATAATTCTAGGTAATTTAAGAATGACAATAAAAGTTTCAATTGAAAAAAATCTTTGCTTGCTAGACAATTTTACAGATATTTGGTGGTTCATGTGCCTATCTTTGTGTTTTCTCTTACCTAAAGTGCACAAGAAAAGCTAGAGAGCAAAGAAGAGACACAACATGACCTTCAGAGAAAGTGATACAATTCAAAACAGAATAAATTTGGTCTATAATGATGATATTTTTGGCTTTAATAGCTTGATTATATAAAATATTCTCAATTACATGGTCTCTGTTCAGTGTGTTTAGTTAATAAGGAATACACTATAATTTACAAAACATTTATGATGTTTGAGCAAATATATTCATTTGGAAAAGTAATCAAATAGAATACTTAACATAATATTATAAACATAAATATAAAGAATAATTAAACATGAAATGATTTACTTTTATACTTACATCACGCTATTAAAAAGCATTGAAAAGAAATAAATAGTTTTTATGGTAAAATTTTAGTTTTAATTTGAGATTTAATATTTAATGACTGAAATGGGAAAAATCAATCTTATTTTCACTTACATTTATTTTCTAATATTCCATCTCTAAATGAAACATTATTACCTGCAATTGATTGCAATTTAATTATACTATAAATTTTATCTTTTAAAATCTCATTATGTTAATTTTGGCTTTAAATTACATAACGTTAGCAGGAAAATTGCCTTTAATGTAATTATAAATTACTCTGGTGTGAAACTTGTCACAAAGTAAACATGCCTACCATTGTCGTCTCGGCGATAGAGCCAAAGCTGTTTATGAATATATTGCATGTGACATTAACTGGAGGGCCTGAAAAAGAGATTAAAACATAAGGGATATTTAGATACTTACGTAAATATTTTCAAATAACTTCTCATTAGTAGTTTTTAAAAAAAGAATAGTTTTTAATACATATATACACATAGATGCTTAAAATTGAAGGCAATCATTCTGTGAAATAATCTGGATTGCAAAGCACAAATTCATGGCCTCCTTTGAGCCCTGACGCTGGCCATGATATAAGTCAGTAACCTCTTGGTCTCGGTTTCCTTGATCTAGATACCGCCAATGGCTCTGTAAATGTCTGCTTGAGTAAGTCCAACCTCTGAGCTTCTACATGGGGTTTCTGTTGAGTCTCCCCTTCCCCCAGTGTATGGGTCATATTTCCCTGCTTCTTTGTATGTCACATAATTTTTGGTTGAAAATTGGATACTTTAGATAATATGATGTGGCAACTCTGGAAATCAGACTCCCACTTCCAACCCATAGTTTGTTGCTGGTGTTTTTTATTTTATTTGCTGTTCAGTGACTTGGAATAATACCGTAAAGTCTGTATTTCCCTATGGTGTGCAGCCACTGAAGTCTCTGCTCAATGAGTTTAGTGGTCAACTAATGATTGCTCAGAGATTTCTGAAATGTCTGGAACCAATAATTCTTCCATCCTTTGCCAAGGGACTTCATGTTTGTTTTGCCTGTAATGCTCATGCTTCACCTTTCACTTCCTGCTTGCACAGGGTCTGAGGTCAGTCAGAGGTGAGAGATTGGGGCCCTCCTAGGACTTTCCTGGGCAAGCACAATGGCCCTACACATGCGTGTAGCCTCCAGATCCACAAGAATATATCAGAACTTTCCAAAGCTGCCTATGGGCATCTCATTCCCCAGATTTTCTTTTAAACTTTTTGTTCAGGCTGGTCCTTGCTCAACTGGTATCGTAACTTTAGGCAGCTTCAGTGTTAACCAATTTCCTGTGATCATTTACAACAAATGCCCTGGAGATAGGGTTTTCCCACTGAGGGAGTTCTCAGTCAAAGTCAAATCATGACAAGCCCTCTGAGTGGGACTCTGAGGGAGTGGGCCAGAGAGGTCAAGCAGTAACATTGCTCTGGGGATGGAATTTCTGAGGCGCAAACTGGTCTGCCTCCTCTGATAGTTGCGAGGCTGCTGGATTTTACAGTTTTTTCTGGTTGAGAAGCTGCTGGTTTTCAAGGTTTAACTGTGGAGCTGGGGAGTGCGGCTGTGTTTAAACGCCCTCAGTTCTTAGAAAAATTCATCAGTGTTTCTTGAATAAACTCTCTTCAGTTTGTTGCAAGCTTTTGGTTAATTTTCAGAGTTCTGAAGGTTAAGTTTTATAATTTCCCTGGTGTTTTTATTGCTTTTTTGGAGGAGTGAATTTACAGAGTTTTTCACTCTACCATTCCAGAAATCCCCTGTTTAAGTGCCTGATTTAGCATGCATCATAAAACAAAGGATTTCTATCTTTATGAGGCCCATTTCTTCATTCCTTTACTAAATATCTAAAGCCTATTCACACCAAATGGAAGAAGATACAAAGAGATTATCATCTAGCAAGGCAGAAGGAATAAGAATCAGTAAACTGTTGAGTACTGCTTGTTACCATGTACTGTGCTTTCTGGTTCAGATACTACTTAATCCTTATAACACTGAGAGTGAATAAGATTCTACCATTTACATATTAGGGAATTGAAGATCTGAGGGGATACATAAGATGTTAATAAATAGGACAGTCAGAATTTGAACCTCTGGTCTGATTCTAAGAATCATTCTCTTCTCACCATAGCAAGCTGTTCCCTCGTCTTCTTCACACTACACAACATTCAAAGCATTTCACTATCTGGCTACAGACTTTGTTATTAGGCTGATATCTGTATAAATATAAAACACAAATACTGAGTGGCAGGGGTTAAAGTAATTCTGAGTTAAACTCTACCTAAGTTAGTCAGACAAAGCCACACAAAAACTGCTATCTAAGCCTAATTTATTTTGTTTCTTTTTTTCACCTGAACATAATTAGGAGTAACAGTTTTCCAGGATTTGCTACAGAAAAGACAGCAGCCCTTGCCCTACACTGCCGTGTCCCCCTCACGAGAGATAATGACTTCAACTCATTTAATAGATTCTCTGGGTATTAACCTCAGTTTCTCTAAATAGTAAGTTCATTTTTCAGCTTTTAGATGTTTTAGTTTTAGGCATATGTTTGATGCCCATGCCGAAGGAGAGGATTTAGCTTTTTTTTCACACATTGTCCCCACTTCTACTAACATAAACCTTTTTTCTGTCCCCCCATTATCTAAATATCGTTAAATTGTCATTGTTGTTAGGTCAGTATTTACTTTTTACATTATTATGACAAGGTAAATATTACCTCCAGCTGTATAATATACTAAGATTACTTTTCCTTTCCTGCAGAATATTTTCTTGAAGTTGAAAACTGGTTCATATATTTCACATAGTTTCCTCTGTATGTATCAAGAACTTATCCACAAGTTCTGAAATGCCTATGTTTCAATATCAGACTCAACAGATATTCTACTAACTTTATCTTCCTTCAGACTTACTCTATTCTAGATTTTTCACTCTGGAGCATAACAGTCATCTATGGTCTCCCATAATCATCATACTGGGGATTACCTACATCTCTCTCTTTTGTGGGATCTCCTTTCATAGTCCCCACACCTGCTTTTCTGGCTTATTTCTTTATTTTAGCAGTGGATATCTTTCAGCAATTCTTTGAGAAACGGTACATAAGGATGTGAAGCCTTTGAGAACTTGCTTGTTCACAAATGTCCTTTTTTTATGCCCTCACACTCCATTAACATCCAGACTTTGTACAAAATTTTAGGCTGAAAATTGTATTTTCTTCTGAATTTTAAAGACATTTCTCCATTATGTTCTTTTTTCTAGTATTGCTGTTGAACAGTCCAAAGCCATTCTGATTCTTGACCCTTTGTAAAGATAAAAAAGATGTTCTCTTTGTACCAATATATTTTTTTTTAAAAAAAAAACTACTACATTGGTTAGAATAGTTTAAAATGCCATTTGAAGTCTCAGTTTACATTTACTTGATTACTGGTGCACAATTTTCATCTTTGTTTTTCTACTCAATTTCTGACAGGTATTTATCTTGCTGGAATAAGACAGAGAAATAAACCAACAAAATTACTTAAAAATAAAGTCTAGGATCCACAGGCTTATGGAATCCTATGCACTTTGAAATCATCTGGGGAGTTTGAAAAAGGTTGATACCTGGTTCTTACCTTCTACTTTGGTTTGTATGGCATGCAACCAAGCTATAGGTATTTTTTAAAGGTCCCTAGGTGATTCAGATGTGCAACAATGTTGGAAACCACTGGCCTAAGGAATTCCAGACTAGGAAACATCTGTGGCCATTATACCATAGGGCTCAAAATGAACTGGAGTTTTATTAGAAACGGAGAAATAGAGAGAGAGCACTCAGGACTTAGAGCATTGAAAATGCAAGACTATTAATTTTAACAAGAAAGTCGCCTCTTATGATTTGGTCAACACTACCAATAAAACATAGTAGATGCTATGTACTTAGAAGATCCCAAAGTCTACAGAGCAAGAGATGCCTAGAACATAAAATTCAAACAGATATAGAAGCTAAATTGTTTTAAAAATGGAGGATGAACATGCAAAAGTAAGAAGACCTCATAAAAATCCTGAATCCTGGAGGTGCTCTAATTCTTTGATTACTAGTGAAAAGGTTTTTTAAAATCTTTATTGATTATTTCCAAATATTTACAAATTTTTTAAATGTATAAGATGATAGCGGTGTCTTATATGTCACTACGTGAGAGAGGAGAAAGCATGGATATTTTACTCCATGATTATTTTATCCCATCATAAGAGAAGTATAAAGTCATAATTGTTACATATTTTTTTTTAACTTCAAGTAAGTCTGAGGTGGTGAACTCTAAAATATACACAAAATATATACACAGGCTGACAAATCTGGAAAAGCTAAATCCAATCTTTCACATTTTTTAGGTTATTCTTCTCTTTTTTCTAGAGAACACTGAAATGCTGCTATTTTCTTTCATGGTGACAGTAATACGAGTCTGGGGAATATGATTTAGCTCGAGGAAAATTCTGCTGTGCGTTATTGCCTCACACCCTCTGAAAGAGGGAAAACACAAGAGCTTTAGGATTGGGATAATTCATCTTCCAATGAAATGCTGAGAGAGGTGGCTCCATGTTGGGACAACATGGCTCTGCGTGAATCTACTAATAGAAGACTGCCTGCTCCATCTGACTGTGCTCTCTTTGCCTGAAATTGGAATAAATAAAACATGGGGGGGATTATTTTTCTCATTTTATTTTAGCAAGGAGCCGGGTCTTTATTTTTTGGACTCTAATTTCTCCATGGGCATTGAATAAAAGGTAAGGCATTATATTTTTTGTTCTCATCTTTTAAATATCACCCACTAAATTGTAGGTAATAGTGCTGACAAATAGAATGAAGGTGAAAATTCAGGATAGCCTTCAGGGGCCTGAAGTTAGTAGCATCTGTTCTGATGCATTTCAGTGTCCCTTGGGAGTAGGCCCTGCATTGCACATCCTAATGATTCCAGGAAGCTTCTGAAAGGAGTAGTATTAAGCACTCTGTTAGGAGGAGGACTGCTCTGATATATTTGTTGTCTCCCTAAAATGTGGCACTGGCATCCCAAGTTGATCAGAGGCTAACAGTGAGGTCAATGAATAAAATAAGGAAAATAGTATGTTTCCATAGAGGAGAAATGGTCAAAGGAGAAGTGACTAATTTAAGCTTTCACTCATAGTTGGCAACGTGATGCCTCACAGTAGATGAAACAGGTTCTAGCCCTTACACTCCACCAGGCCTCCAATGAGATGCACAAAGCTCTTCCTAAAAGCAGAAAGTCAACCTGGCTTTAGATCTAAATTTCATGTGGTAATAAAGTGAATCTCAGTGATCTCGGGTCTAAGCTTTATTGTTTAATTGATCAATTACCAGACGTGTTCCTTGCCTG